ATGGAGACCTCCTAAAGTTTGTTCATTACTATATCCCTTCACACCTTTTTCCAAATGTAGTTTTCAAAGTAAACTTAAAGACCTCACCAGTCATTCATGGTGATACCATCAGACAGTACTCCTGCATCATCTGTCTATCACCGTCTATCATGGGCGAACCTCAACCAATCCAATCAAAGAACCATGTAACTTAGTCATGTAATGTAGTTCTGATATGAGTGATGATAGCAGCATCTACGCTAACATAGCAGCCAGCTTAGTTTTTTAATGATCGTTTCCTTCTTGCTGCATCACATTAGCACCCACCCCTGTAGCTGCCAGTATTTCCTCAAAGGAAAGGCTTATGGTGCGTTACCACTGTATCGACTACCAATGCAGAGATTGAAGCCTGGCAAGATGGATTTTCGAGGGGTTTCATGATCTTGCAAGCCCAGCTTCATCCTAAGGTTGTAATAAAATGACGGGATCGCCAAAATTAGCTTGAGCCTTGTCTTTTTAGTATGCTACTGTGTTGATTATCCCCATGGTGCCATGCCCGTAGCAGCTGGTCTGTTAGGATGAAAGAGTTAGTGGAAATTAGGCCTGAGCCAAGTGCATCATCCTTGGGTGCGTAGTTTTCCACCTACTTAGGAAAACCTTAGTCCTAACCCCAACACCTGCAGAAGTTCTCACTTTTTGGCTCTGTATATAGACCATAGGCATTTGGTTAGCAGACCAACACCTGATAGCACTCTGTGTGTAAAATTAGCCATTTTGAGCAGATTCCTGATATTTTTTATATCTGTTTTTAAACAATCATTTTGACAAATTCTGTGTTTTCTTCTCATTGTTCTATCAGCTCCATATTTGTTTTTTTTCTAATGCAGGACAAGGCTGTTTAGCAGAGAGTGAAGGCTCTGTGAATGTAACTTGTGTTCGGGTCTTCATCATGCCCTTATCTTTTGAGATTTATTTTTTTATGTTTATATCTTTATATATTTATAAGTAAAAATATAAATTTCATTTAGTTTTATTTGCAGAAATGAATGAAAAGCTATAAGCCTACTGTGTATTATTTTTATTCATTGTTTTTACTCCCCAGAACCAGTGTGTGTCTAGAGTTACGAAGTGTATGTAAAAAAAATTTTATATATTATTTATATTGTCCTTTCTCATATTAAATTAATGATCCATGGACAATCCCAGTACACATGGTTTATTCTCTGATTGGAGCCCATTATATCTATATTATATCTATATTGTACGCATATGGCAGTTCTGCCACTGAATTCTGAATTGGTCTTTTAGAGACAATGTGTTCATACAGAACAATAGGAAAGCATGTTTTAATATTTGATGGCATTCTAATTTATTTATGTGCCTAAATCTAAACTGTTGAATGTACATATATCATATATTAGCAGTTGTTGTATCATTACTAAAGAGATTCCAGAAGCTCTACCAAGGAAATTGTGTTTCTGAGCCTTGAGGTATTATTTAAGGAATGTACAGCACAATAATAGTAATAATAATAATGATAATAATAAGCCAAAATCCAAACTCCAACATTCATTTTAATATGAAACTGCAAATTATTTTGTGTATTAACATAAAGAGGAACAAGTAAACAACCTGTATGTAATCATTTCAAGTATAATTTCCTCAAGCACAAGGAGAAGTTACCTTGAACTCATATTTTAAATGTCCACAATAACTTGGTGCCTGGTCTAAATTAGTTTTAGTCATAAATTATGTAGCTATTCTCACTCTCTCCTTTTAATTATTTCAATCGAAATCAATCACTCTGTTCTCACAAAGCAGAAAAAGGAAGAAAAGGAGAATAATTTTAGCAGAGGCTTCCTCAGCCAGGCTCCATCACTGATAAAACATTTATCACTTGCATAGTGTTTGCGCTTTCCTTGTTTGTAGATGAGGCTGGTGCAGCTGGCAGGTGGAGTGGCTTAGATTGAAGGTAATGCAAAGAAATCCTGCAGGCTTCTTGTGCAGTGCATCCAGTCAATATGGACAGAAAATACAAAACAAGCCAAACAACGGGCTTGCTGGCCCGAGTGTAGCAGTTTTCAGCTGTCAGACCAGCACGTTTTTTGACAGGAGGATTTGAAGCTTTTGTTCGTTATTGTTGTTCACAAGTTGCCTATTCTGCTTGAAGTTTACTAATTTGTACAACAAAACACAAAGAAAAAAAATAGAATAGACGAACTGAAGACAAGCAGTCTTCAGTTTAGGATTAAATTAGTAGAAGCATGGATGACTCAGTACAAAGGCAAATATGTATGTAAGTCAGAGATCTGAGTTGGTAGACAGTTCCAGACAAAATGTATCATAGTCGTAGCCGGGTCTGACCAAGACATAGACATCTGGCTTGACTTTTCAACAAAAGTGACTCGTGCAGTCTAAACTGGCATGCCTGTCATTGCTAAGGGATATTTCGTCAATGACTGTAGACGTGGGTACAATAATGTATTCATTAAGTAATAAATGATTTACCAATCAATGATACATGACATGAATATTTTTAGCAGCAGACCTGCATGCCTGGGCAGTGCTGCAGGGTGGGTTTAAGAGTCAGTGTCAGTGGGGGAGCTGGGCCAGCTGCAGACTGGAAGATACTTTTCTTGTTTTATGAGGTTTTGGTCCTGATGGACCTCCTGCCAAAGGGAAGTGTTTCAAAGAGTTTGTGTCCGGGGTGGGAGGGGTCAGCCACAATCTTCACAATCAGGGTCCTGGAGGCGTACAGGTCCTGGAGGGATGGCAGGTTGCAGCCGATCACCTTCTCGGATAGAATGATACGCTGCAGTCTGCCCTTGTCCTTGGCAGTGACAGCAGCTTACCAGATGGTGATGGAAGAGGTGAGGATTGACTCGATGATGGCTGTGTAGAAGTGCACCATCCTTGTCTTTGGCAGGTTGAACTTCCCCAGCTGCCGCAGGAAATACATCCTCTGCTGGGCTTTCTTGGTCACTTGAGGTCCCAGGCTATGATGGTACCCAGGAAGTGGGAAGGACTCCACAGAGTCAACTAGGGAGTCACGCAGGACGATGGAGGCGGGTGGGGCTGGGTTCTTCCTGAAGTCCACAACCATCTCCACTGTCTTTAGAGCTAGGTTTTTGCATTCCTGTGACCTTTCCTTAATGCCACCATGAAGTTGACATTTCGTGGTTCACACTGAAGTGTCTCCGCTACTATTGAATGGATTGCCATGAAATTTAGCACAGACTTTCATGGTCATAATGAGCATTGTTGATCTCGTGGCTTGCAGATGTACAGCCATACAGGGCCACTAGCAATGCTGTAGACTCTCAGTGTTTAAACTAAATTAATCATGTCTCAAGTCATTTAATTCTGCCCACTAGTATACTTTATATGTTTACTGTGAGTGAAAAGTCACGCTTCTAGGCTACCTCATCCAGCTGGTGGGGGATGGAGTCCACTCAATTTTAATGGGATATTTACAATTTGTTTTTGGGATTAAGATGGGATGGAAAAATCAGTGAGCAGGAGTAGGGAACAAAACCTCTGACAGTGGCTTTATATGACTCCAGCCATTTCAGCAATGGATCATTATGTGTGATTATTTGGTGAACCTAATTTAAGAAAATCGTAGTAAATCAATTTCTATAACTGAGAATAATTACCAACCGATTCTGCAGCTCTACGGATCTTTTTAGCCCGTAACAGACCCACAAACTGAGAACCAGATTACTTTGAAATGTAGTGAGTTACTACATAACAACAATTACATGGCAATTTTTATAATTAGTAAGGTAAGACCAGACATGCTTTTAATGAGTTAATGGATAATTGTCATAATTATCATTACAATTGCTATATCTTAAAGACATAATTAAAAATGCAATCCAGTAATCCTTGAAAATGTAAGTATAATTTAATATATGTTTTTTAAATGTATTCTGAGCAGATTATACTTACTTTTTTTGTAATCTTATTACATAATCCCAATTACATGTAATCCATTACTACGAAACCCTGCATAACACACAAAGTTAGTGACCAACTGGTAAATAAAGTTAAAGGAGACCACACCAGAGCTACAAAGAGTGAACATTGAACTAAGATTCTAATAATAGTCATTTGTCAATTTTCCTATCAGATTTCCTATCGTATTTAGACCTTCCCTGGTTCTTTAGGTAAAAATTAGTTCAGAAGAGGAAATTGGGACTGATAAAGAGTGTACAGGATTGTTGTAATTAACTCAATACAGTATTTGATATTGGCTGCAAAATTGTCATCTGCTGGTCCTTAACAATATGTCTGGACTGTGTCAGTGTCTGGTCCACATATTTCGCCTAAAGGCATCCAAATGAATACAACATTTTCTGTATCATTAAAAAGGTATCAGAAATTCAACATATTGGGTCTTGTAACAGTATAATGTGATGTATGTTTTGGGAGAATTCTTGATCTTCTGTAAGAAATAACACTGAACAACCTTACTGTAGAACATCTGCTAAAATTGCACTTGAAAGCATTCCATACATCCCCTTTTTTTGGTTCTTGTTATTGTCAGAGCACATCAATGTCATTTGCAAAATTTGCATACACTTTTTACAAAGACAACACATAAATGGAGTACACACTCTCATCTGTGTACTTTTGGAAAGTGTTTACAGAGATCTGTCATCCTGTGCAAACTGGTAATTAGAATTGAGCTAAAAATGAGTGGGCTTGAGATAAATTGACAAAATGGTCTTTCTTTAATCAGGTCTTGAAGTGGACGCACAAAACAGATATCAACTATGAAAGACAGGGTTTTCAAGAGATTGTTTATTTAAAGCCACTTTGCTGAGTGGGAGAATTTTCTTGAAATTAGCCTTCTATAAATGATTGCTCTATCAGAGATTTCCAAAGAATGTGTCACTGTAAATGACTGTGTCCAAGCAGAGTCTGTCATATTGTATTGTGGCTTTGTTCTTATTTATTGGAACTTTTACAAGTTTAAAGAAAACCTTTGATGATGGATTTCATCTTCTCTGTTTCAGGACGTGCTGACCTTTGATGAGTCTCTGACCCAACAATCATCTGTTGACTTTCTGCGTTCGATATGAAGAAAAAGGATTTTTGGCCATAGTGGATATTATATATGGTGTTGAAGCACAAGTTTACCATGGACTATACCACGATTATATGGACTGGTTGTACTTATTTCCATATTAATTTTTCGATTTTGCTCATCCTCAGCTGTGGGAAAAATGTTGGGAAAACCGTCACATATTAAGGAACATCTCATGTCGATAGTAAGTTAAACGTAATGAACCAGATTATGGAGTTCTTTTTAATTTTTCTGTGGGAACTATATGAAATTATTCTTTGGACTGCACCACATGGGCTCTGCTGGCTGCCCTTGACTGCGAAAAGGACTGTAAACCTGTGTGTTTGAAGGTTTGTGTATGCCCACGGACACAGTGGAAGTGAGAGGGGAAGACATTTTTGGACCATTCTTTCTTTACAATGAGAGTTCCAGCCGCCGTGGCTGCAGTTTCCCGTCTTTGTCCTCTGGTGATCTTCCTATGTGTTGTCTCCCAGAGTTGTTATGGGACCCGGGTCGATCTGAGCCCTCACACTAACCCCGACCCCACCCTGTACCCTAATCTGTGGCTCAAGTCACCGCCTGAATCAACCTTGCTCCCAAGCTCAAGTCCTGAAAAACATATGTTTCCGCTGAAGCCCAGCCAGCTCTCAAGCTCCAGCCAAAGCTCCTGGAGCAAGCCTCAGTCAAAGCCTATCATATCCTATCTTACCGACAACAATAGGTCCAACACATACTCTCCATTAACAGTCTCCCAGACCACATCAAGCTCAAACACTAGACTCAAGCTACAGCGTGCGCCCAGACAAAGTTCTTATTCAAGGCAGGGGTTGGGATTCAAACCAAATTCTAATCAGGCGGTAAGAAATAGCTCAAACAATCCAAACCAATCTTCAAAAGTCAACCCCAAAACTAATCCAAAACCAAGGATCGGATCACTGTTGCAGTCAAAGCCCAAGGCATTCCCCATCTCTAAGGCAGCGACTGTGACCAACTCTGATTCGGCCCCCAGCACTAAATTATCTTCACCTTCCAGTTCTAATCAAAAGTCCAACCCATCTGGTACTATGAATCCCAGCACATACTACAATGCCAGCCCGGCGTCACTATCAAATCCCAAATCCCATTCCAAACTCAGACCATCTTCACAAACAATTACAAATGCCAAACCCCATTCCAAGATCTCCAACCCAACCTCCAGAGTGTCCAACAGAGCACAGAGGAACCAGACTAAGTTGCTTGACACAGACAAGGATTCCCACCATCGCCCCAAGAGAGGCTGGATCTGGAACCAGTTCTTTGTTTTGGAGGAACACATCGGACCTGAACTTCAGTACGTTGGAAAGGTAAGATATGTTTATTGTTTTACTTCCAGTGGAGTACATAGATCCAAAAAATCCTATTTGTTGTCTCTAACCCCTCTTTTTTGAACATGTGTTGAGCACAGAGCATGCACTTGTTGGTGATTGTTTAATGCCTTGTTATGGAGTAATTACTTGATTAGTGATATTTTCTAAGCTTACTTATTCATTTCTTGTTGAGTACTAACTTGGGAAATGCTTACTGTACTGTTTCTTGTCAGGCTCTGGCAGTTCTGAAGATGCTGCAGTGTGTTTTATGCAATATTCAAAAAAGTTGTTGAAATGACCTAGCCTACATGTAGAATTTCTGATTATACCATTACTCAAATTATTCTGAATGCATACTGCAAGTGTTTTTGGAAGGCTGTAGCATGCATTGCTTCTGCCATAGCAAATGTATTGATACTACTGCTAGTAGTCACCAGAGTCAGAAATTTTAGATCATCCTAGTCTAGCTTTAGGATAACATCAGTCCCTTTCATTTCTGAGAGATATTAACAGTATTTCTGAAATTATCGCTATTGCAAAATTTTAATACCCGCACTAGGCATATATATATATGGTCCCCATATGAAAAAATAATGTTATGATTATCTTCACCAAAGTAATTGCAGTACACGATATTATCACAATAATAATGAAAATATATGTTATAATTCTAAAATGGCACTAAAACAGGAATCACAAATTTAGTACTTGTTGTAAGGACACAAATGCAGGACGCAGAGACAGAGTTGGTATAGTAAAAATGCAGCAAGTAGTCGTTAAAGGCGAACACATCCAAAAAGTGATTGGGTGGGAAAACAAAACCCCAAAAAACTGAGAACAAGTGCTGTGACGCTAAGGTTATGAGGCGCAATACACAATCTGCAAATGAGTTAAGCTGGGTGGCAAGTGTGCTGGTAGGTACTGGTCAGGGGACTGAGGAATGGCCAGAAGAGCTCGGGACAACTGCTTAAAACAATTGACATTGCAGTGTCATGACCGATCTGTCATAGCTCTTCATCAGGTACAAAACATTTCCACAAGCCTCACATTATCTACATATCTACTGGGTACAATCAAAGGCAACCGTGTATTCATATTCCGAGTACAATGGAGTGACTGATGACAGCAGCTGGATAGTGAAGCACAGTGATGGGCAGTTGTGTCTTAGCAGATAGAACAAGTCGTCTACCTGCTAATTGAACGTTGCTGGTTAGATCACCAGCTCCTCCTGTCTACATGTCAAAGTGTCCTTGGACAAGTTAATAGTGGTGGGAATTGCAGCTCTTTTTAGTGAGCCAGATCATTTGGCTCAGCTCAGCAAAAAGGTCCTGCTCTTTTAGCTTTGAAACAGCTCTTCATTTAGTTCACTTCTGGCTTTTTTAATTCAGCCAAATTTAGCGATATTTTGAACTATGTGATCATATTATCACTTAAAGTATTCTGTGCAATTGCACAAAATCTTACAATTTCCAGAATACCATAGTTTGACATTATGTTTGGTAAAAACAACTATATATAAAAAAATAAATAACATCAAAAACTATTACACTACAAATTAGTTTATGGTCTCAATCTCTAGTTTCAGTCTTCTTACATACAGCATGATGTTCATTTTGTAAATTATGGTCCCATTTAGAGTGAAATAGACGATAAAGCAGGGTATGCTTCAGGGCATGGCTACTTTGTGATTGACAAGTCATTCACGAAACGTGTGTTAAACTGTCGATTTTCCTTCAGACTGATCACATTACCTTAAAAGCTCCTAGTCTTGAGCAGTTTAATTGCTTTTATTTCTGCCCATTCTTTGAAAAGGTCATTGAACCCTTTGCTCAGAGAATACAAATAACTGCAGAGCTGCAGGTTGAGGCAGAAAATATTGAATATTCTTTGTGAAGAAAACAGTTAGAGAGCAACCTCAGAGGAACAATCAAGAAAATATGTCTAAGACTATTATCCATTATAACCAACGTAGAGAAGTATCTTTCTGTGTGAATCTGAGGGAGGGAATCAGTTCTGCTTTCTGCAGAGCACTGTGAATATGAATGTAAAAACCATACAGCATGTGTGGTGCTCAGATAGAATGGCTTATCCCCATCTTTTCGCAGCTATTGCATGCCCCAGCAAGACACGACAGTCAAGTATCACGAAATTCCCAACATTTTAGATTGCACTGTATGTTTTTGAGTGGTAGAAAGTGTTTAAATGGTTGGTAATCCAGTTAGCCTGAAAAGCTTTAAACTGTAGAACCCATCTCTTATCATACAGCTAAGAGCATTTCACTGGAGAAAATCATTGGTGGTCATATGCTTATATTTTCAAACTCAAAAAGAATGGTAGATGCTTAGATACTCAGAGAAATACTCAGCAGTGGGAACAATACGAACTTTAGATATAGATGATACATCTTACTTTTGATTCAGACATTTTTTGATGGTAAGGTGCCACCTCATCTTGGATTACAGTGTTATGGATGTACAATTAATCTGAGGCAGCTCTCTTGCTGTCCACCCACAGCTGTTCAGTGGGTGGGATAGACTGAGATATGCACACCTTTCTATACACTGAAAATGAATATATGCATATGGTAAATTGCATTGAAAGTGGTTGTTTACTGCAGGTGGTGGACTGCTTTTCTATCTGGATGCTTCAAATGGATGCAAAATAAAATTACTAGTGGCTTAAAAGACCAGTGTGTAGGAGTAGTGGCATCTAGAGGGGAAGTTTCAGATGGAAACCAACTGAATACAGCTCGCCTTCCAAGTGTGTAGGAGAAACTGTGGTGGCCATGTGATGTGTTAAAAGACCCTATAAACAATTCATTCCAAGGTAATGAGGTACCTAACAGTGGTTGCAAAAGTGCCCTCTTGTTTGACCCTATGAAAGATAAAACAAAATAAAGTGCCCTCTATGGTGCCCTTCCAGTGGACAAAACACTATAGTGTGTCCTTCTAGTGAACAAAAAGCCTTTGACCCTGCCCTTCAAACAGCAAGAGTCCACCACTGAAAAACGCAGCTGCATTGGATATGGATGGATAAGAACAAAAGTTGAGTTTTTAGGCGTAAAGTTTCACTTTAAAAAGTTTAAACATGAACTAATTGTTTTCATTATGTCAGATTTTAGGGGGTGCTGCTGCCCCCTTAGCACTTGCACAAGCAGTTAAAAAGACCAAAGTGAAATTTACCTCTGTACCTCTGTGGTATGCTTCGTTCCATCCATCTGTGTAAAAATTCAGTAAGGAATGTTACAACCTGAAAAACCATCCTGCTTGTGATCTTTCCAAAAATTAAAACCTCATTCAAAGTGAAACATCAGTCAATCTGATGCTCCACTGAACACCTTTAGTGTATTTGGTTATTACTGTATACTGTCTGATACCTCTGGTGCATTCTCAGTCTGATGATGAATTATCTGTAAACTCCATAAGTGACATTAAACATTGCTGTAACTTTTAATTTAGTTTAATGAGGAGAGAATAAACATATTCTCTCCTCATTAAACGTATGGTTTCAAAGGTCAGACTCATATCCTTATGGCCACCAAAAATGCTCCTTTCTTTGCATTGTATGGTTTTTACTGACAGTGAAGTCCCTGACGGATTGCGTGTTAATGTATCAGAGAAGAAAAATGGTCAGGTACGCTGGCGTGTAATTGAAGGAATCCTGTTTCAATACTGTTGTGTCCAGTGCTGCTGAACAACACCCAACATGAGGTCCCTGCCCCTCATATAGCTACTGTTTCCTTAATAAACCTACTCCAGTGGTGGTTCATTTTCATTCAACATCTGTTCCGAATGCGAGTAAACAAACTGTCTCTATGTACACCGTTTGATGTCACAGTCAAAGGAAAAGCTTTTGAGCCTTGTCTTCATTTTTTCCTCTGAACATGAGCAGGTGGCCTAGTTATAGCATTACAGTACAGAACTTGAAGAAACTTGTCCGTTCCTGTGTGTGAGTCAAGGATCACACTGACTTTGAATATAACTCCGGTTTATTGATGAACACAAAACCGAGTGAGACTGAGCCGACATTAGTTTCACAGTATCGTGGAGCAGGCAGAGCAAGGGGCACGGTGATTGGCTTAGCCATCAGACACACCTTCAGGTACGGTGGCTCGCATTAAACAAACACAGCATCATTTAGCCAGATGATCTACAGAACCTATGCAGTTTTATTTGTTTCTGTTTGCCTAAAAGCTTTTTTTGGTGGGAATCCTGTAAAGTTTCTTAGTGTGACTGCAAGTTACTGGGAAGAGGTGTGTATCCACAGTTATCTAGAAGTAATAAGTTAACTAAATTTGATTTTGCTGACTACATCCACCATAAGAACCTGACAAAAAACACAATGTTCAAGTGAATATGGCATGGCATTCTCTTCACTCGCATTTTTGGGTTGTCTTTTATCCAATCTATCTAATCTCAACTTTTTTTTTTTAACCATGACAGTTTCAGGCCTCCGTACCTCAGCTGGCTTGCATTAGAAAAAACTTAAGGACTAACAAGGCTAAAGGTATAATCTCTACCATGTATAGGGTTATAGCATGCTAGAATTAGCTAATTAGCACTAAACAAGTACAGTTAATGCTGGTGACAATCCACCCAATAGTTTTACTTTCAATTTCACTTGAAAACTAATATGTTAACCTCAATAGAAAGACTACAGGAGATGTTAAAGGTTCACCAAAGTCATCATATGGGAACCACGATAAATGTCTGTGCAAAATGTCATGACTAATAGTAAGACATTTTCAGCCTGGACCAAAGTGGTGGACTGCCACTAGCTAAAAACAGTATAGAGAGTATAAAACTGTCTAAAATTGCTTCATGGAATAGAAAAATAAAATTCTGGTGACCAAAACCCACAATCACAGAGAGAATGACTTTACAACAGCAGTCTGATAAATCCCACTCCTAAGGCATGCAATCACTGATAGAACACACAATAAATGCACCTTAAACCTGGAAGGAGTGAGTGATTGAGACCCTGTAAACCCACTTTTT